GGCGCCGAGCCGTTAATACAACTTTATCAGCATATTCAGTTTTGTCTTTTCATTGTCATACTTGCATTGACTGTCACAAACTCAATTATTCATTTATGAAGTATTAATTTGTGAATATAAAATTACTGTTCTAACTAAAAATTGAAACTGCTATAATTTATCCAGATAATGGTTCTTTCAGAACATCAATTTTGCTTTGCCATTAGGAGTGTTTAAGTGTTAGAAAATAAAAGGCTATTCTGACTATTGATAAATTCTACTGTTATGGCATATGTTTGTAAAAAATCGCCAATTTTTATTATATTAACTATAATCTATTTTAATAATGTTAACCATGAGTATATGGTTCAATGATGACTTAAACAATGCAATATTATTTTAGTGCCCTATCGATAAATAATAGTGTTTTAGTGCCCTATCTATAAAACATAGATAACTTTACCTTAACATTCTAATACATTAGTGAAATTATGGTGTATCAACATTCTAATACATTAATGAAATTTTTGGGTGGTTATTTGACTATATCTCATTAAAGGTAATTGCATGGACCTGACTTGGAAGCATTTCCCATTCTAGGAATAATTTCTATGGAAACAGAAGCATGAGAGCATAAAGACTCTAACCATGCACAGAGTGCACTTGTATATAATGATTATAAAAGCACAGTATTTTGCAATAGCAAAAAAGTTAGCACCATTATTCCAAAAATAATAAATGAATAAAAGTGTGGTGCCCTTCACATCCACTGAGGATACCAGGACATCTATAATTTTTCACCTGGAGCTGTAGCAACTCAGGAGTTTGCAAATATATAATACCAAAATGTGGTATGTCAAATCAATATCTCCATTATGACAAAATAAATTATTTATGATGATAGAAAAATCATAGGTATAAAGATAGACGTGTTGATAGATATTTGCATTAGCATAGACATTTAGCCCCTGTAATAGGGCAAATGATTCAATATTTTACTTCTGATAAAATGAAATTTTAAAAAATGGCTATTACACTTTAACTCAAGTGTCCACATATAACTTTTCATATTGAAAAAATGAGAAAAAAACTAACACAAGTTAGTAAATTAAATTAGAAGTGGAACTGTGAAGCAGTATGACCACAAAACCTTAAGAAGTCTCTATTCTGAAACCCCAATAATAAAACAGATCAGGAAAATCTGATACCATTTTGGCATGATTATACTTCACTACAGTAATTTTTTAAGTCAATATGAAGTTGCCAAAAATTCCCTCTAAATTCTACATTTTTCTATAAAAGCAGAAAAGAATTAAAATAAAAAATAAATCTTAAGATTCAATCATGTAGGTAATTTGGATGATCTCAATGAGGAAAAAGACATGTCGTGAAAATATTCTCAAATTAGCCTCTGAAAAGATGAACATAGAGACTTAGGGACCTGGCAAAGAGCCCATAACATATGAATTTAAAAAGTTACTAGTTTGGCTACTCACCCCATCCTCTGAAGTGGAGGAGCAGATTCCAGCCTTCTATCTCAGTAAAACACGACAGAAAAAAAAAAAAAAAAAAAGAAAGAGGAAAGACAAAATCTTAGAAATACTCAACATTAAAAACAAACAAACAAAAAAAATGAAAACACCACCAAAGCAGTCAAATTGCTTTGTTAGACGGGTTCTATTCTTGTTATTTAGTATAGGCATGCAATACTCCCTCAGTGTTAACACAATACCAATGAGATTTTCAGTACATGTTGCAGTTGCTTGATCCTTTGCTAATGCAATTTTGAAAATGTCTTTGTGTGTCAGGCATAAATTCAAAATATATAAGTATCTACAGTTCTAGCTACAATTCTCTGTTCAAAGTGAACAAAATTGAGCAAGTTTTGGAGCACTGCATTTTAAAGGAATACACTATTTCATAAAGTAGGATGCTAATGCCCTGTTCTCAAAGAAAGAACAGGCATCCTCCCAATGGTATTATGCTGTCACTGAGGTTTTACCAAATAAGCCAGGCTCTGAGAGTCTTATTTGTCCTATTAGAGGGCCGTTCATCTGGACCTCAGATTGACATCTGGAATGAGTCCCTCAGCGTCCTCAGACAGTTATTCTCATCATCGATCCAGGCAAACACCCTCCTAACAAACAAGCATTTCCCTAGCCAGGCTTATTCTGTGCAGATTAATGTGAAACATTGTGAATGAAGAAAAGTAAATATACAATAGACTTTTAAAAAATTATTTAAATAATAGAACTCTCATATATGTAGAATGACAAAACATAGGACCCTGGATTGTTCTAATAAAATTAGATAAAATCTATTGGGAAAATAAACAACACTTTTAAATCAACCAAAAATTTAAAGAATGAGTAATGTAGCAAAATAATATATGGCATAATTACAGCACAAATATGAACAGAAACATCTATGTTCTGAATGTGCCAGATAATGATTAAAAAAAATCAATATGTTTCACACTTGAATTTCACTATAAGATTATTTTAATTCAACACAAAATGTTGGAAAAGAGAAATATGTCAGTGATTCTTCAAAATTATTTAGGTTACTTCAAAAAGATTTTGATTACAAAAGGAAAAAAACAAAACTGAGTAGAAACATCCATGGGAAATATATCTATCATAAAATAATCTCCTTTAATCTTCTGAAGTAATGAACAGATAGACCTTGAAGTCTTGACTTCACTGGCCATAAAGACAAATTTAAAAAGTACAAAATGGTTGCTCACCTCTCTTTCCTGAAGTACAGTGACTTATTCTTTCTTTTAACCTGTAGCAAAATATCATACAAAAAATAAATTAGACTGGGAATGCAGCAAATTAATTATAAATAAAGCACAACTTTGGTTCCCTTGTAATGATCTATCATCTCAGGTATCTGTACTCATCCTTGATCCAGACAAGTCCACTACCAATAAATAAGTAGTTATTGGTGCTCCTAACAATTTATCACCTGCATTCAGCTCATAGCAGATAGCAGCATAGGTGGACATTTGACTTGACTTTAGTGAAGCTGGCTATAATGGCAACTCCAGAAGCTTCGCAGAACCCTTCTGTCTGAAGCAAATATATGAAGGGATAAGCAGTGGGACAGTTGTTAATGTTGATGTATTACTCAATATGGTAGGAACAAAAAATCAGGACTTAACTCTGAACTTGGATTGTATTATTTAAAAGATTATTCAAGTATGTTAAATGTATCTGAGAGAAATATATAGGGTGATATTCTTTCCATCAGAATGGTTTGTAGGGGTGGCGCCTGTGGCTCAGTGAGTAGGGTGCTGGCCCCACATACTGAGGGTGGCAGGTTTGAATCTGGCCCTGGCCAAACTGCAACAAAAAATAGCCAAGTGTTGTGGTGGGCACCTGTAGTCCCAGCTACTCAGGAGGCTGAGGCAAGAGAATCACCTAAGCCCAAGAGCTGGAGGTTGCTGTGAGCTGTGATGCCACAGCACTCTACCAAGGGTGACAAAGTGAGACTCTTAAAAAAAAAAAAAAGAATGGTTTGTAGTCATTATTCAGAGTGTATGTGTATATATATATATATATATATATGTTCATATTAGACCCATAGGATCATTACCACCACACAATTATATTTTACCTGCCTAGGACTAACATTATTTTAATATAATACTCGTCCAGACTAGCCAATATTACTTCATGAATCCTTGCCTTTATTAACCTACAAATACACCAAAATAGCTGACTATTTTCTGAAATTCAGTTCTCATTGTTATTGTACAAAATACATTTCCTTTCAGAAGCTGTGTAACATCTCCCAGTAAAGAATTTTTGGTTATTTTCCTGATGTGACTTTTCAACATCATCTTAGTTTTGTTTAATGTATAATAGTGCTTAATGCACAATTTATAAGAGTAAGAAACACTGTCAGAAAATTATTGAAAATAAGAAATAGGTAAGTATAGTATATGAATGAATAACACATATAAACTATTGACCACTACATCCCTTAAATGAACTTATTATCTACAATTATTATTGGATATATAAAGATTCAAAATACATTAAGCAAGCAGTAAGATTTTGAATCAATTTCTCAGAAATGAAGACATTGGAAGAGTAAATCTCTCAGCTATGAAGACATCTAAAGATATTATTTATGATAAATAAAATGGGACATACAGAGGAATAGGCATTTATTTATAGACATGTAGATGGTATAACCTGAAAGGTATTGTTCATTTCCAGAATGACTTGACTAATGATAAAATTTGAATGATAACTTCTTTCTCATTAGCCTCTAAGTTCTGTCTCAAAACAAAGACACTCTACTCAAAATGTCTGATATATAAAAAAAAAGTGAGACAAAGCAAAGCAAGAAAATGAAATCTGTAATCCTTATATACTAAAAGGCAGATGACCCATATTTTAGAAAGAGTAGAAAAAATAATTTAAAATCTATTATGAATAAGTCTTAGAAGATAATGGCAAGAAAATGTTAATAGGTGGTAGATTTCATAGGGAAAATAAATTATAAAAATGAACCAAAAGGGAACTCTAGAAAGTAAAATAATATCTTTAACCAAAAATACATTAGATGAACTGATACATGCTTATAACATGGACAAACTTCAAAAACATTATGCTAAGTGAAAGAAACAGAAATAGAGAAAACTACATATTGTGTTATTCCATTTATATAAAATTTCTGGATAAAGCAAATTCTATAGAGACAGAAAGCTAGTTAATAGTTACTTGGGATTTAGGAACAAAATATGTATTAATTGGAAATGGGTGTGAGGAAACTTTGAGGGATAATAAAAATGTTCTAAAACTGGATTGTGGTGACAGAAATGCAATGCTATATATTTACTAAAAAATCATTGACTTGTATATCTTGTGTGTAAATTTTATGGTATTTAAAGTATACCTCAATAAGATTGTTAAACAATAGGTATTAGACGGATTTAACAACGGAATAGGTACCTCTGAAGAAAAGATCAGAGACCTTGAAGACAAACCAAAAGAATGATCTAAGCTGAGGCACAAATGTTTTAAAAAAGAAAGAAACAGTCCAAACACCCAGAAAATCAGAAAGAGAATCAGGAAGTATAATTGCATTAACTTGTCTAAAATAAGTCTAATTAATGTCCTGGAGGAGAATAGGAAGTAAGTGGGACAGAAAATTTTTGAAAAAATAAGGCTGGAAAAATTTCAAATTATATCTAAAAATCAATTCCCAAAAAAGATTCTTTTTTTTTCAAATAAGATTCTTAAATAGGATAAATGTGAACAAAAATTTGCCTTATCACATTATTATGAAACTCCTAGTATTTTCTAGGTGAATACTTTTTTCACCTTTTATTCTACCCTATGAATAAAAAGTACACTAGATAGGGCAGTGCCTGTGGTTCAAGGAGTAGAGTGCCAGCCCAGAGGTGGCAGTACCAGAGGTGGTGGGTTCAAATTCGGCTCTGGCCAAAATCTGCAGAAAAAAAAAGAAATACTCTTTCTGGGTGGTGCCTATGGCTCAGTGGGTGGGGCCCTGGCCCCCATATACTGAAGGAGAATAGGAAGTAAGTGGGACAGAAAATTTTTGAAAAAATAAGGCTGGAAAAATTTCAAATTATATCTAAAAATCAATTCCCAAAAAAGATTCTTTTTTTTTCAAATAAGATTCTTAAATAGGATAAATGTGAACAAAAATTTGCCTTATCACATTATTATGAAACTCCTAGTATTTTCTAGGTGAATACTTTTTTCACCTTTTATTCTACCCTATGAATAAAAAGTACACTAGATAGGGCAGTGCCTGTGGTTCAAGGAGTAGAGTGCCAGCCCAGAGGTGGCAGTACCAGAGGTGGTGGGTTCAAATTCGGCTCTGGCCAAAATCTGCAGAAAAAAAAAGAAATACTCTTTCTGGGTGGTGCCTATGGCTCAGTGGGTGGGGCCCTGGCCCCCATATACTGAAGGTGGTGGGTTCAATATCAGACCTAGCCAAACTGCAACAAAAAAATAGCCAGGTGTTGTGGTGGGTGTCTGTGGTCCCAGCTACTCAGGAGACTGAGGCAAGAGGATAGCCTGAGCCCAGGAGTTGGAGGTTGCTGTGAGCTGTGATGCAATGGCACTCTACCGAGGGTGATGAAGTAAGATTCTGTCTCTAAAAAAAATTTAAAAAGTACACTAGATATAAGGATATACAGGTAATGACAAGCTCACAATAAGAAATTATAATACACCACTATGAGGAGAAGAATGATTAAGTGGGAAAAAATCAATAAATATATTTTAGACATGAAAATAGGGTAGATTTTATGACTATATAATGAACTTGATGGATAGGGGAGAATATGTACTGTTCTCAAGTGCCCCCAAATTGATCATATATATTAGGTAAGAATGAAAAATTAGTAACTCAAATAAATATTAAAAGCTACACTTTCTGATCACAGTGTAATAAAAATAGACTTCACTAACAAAAAAAGACTCCTCCACCAAGAAATTTTTAAAACTTCTGATTAACTCCAGAGTAAAAGGGGAAGTGCAGAAAATGCATACTCTTGAAAATACAACAATAAGAAGATATACAAATGGCCAAAAACACATGAAAACATGCTCCACATGATTAATCATCAGGGAAATGCAAATTCAAAGCACAATGAGATACCACTTTATCCCTGTCAGAATAAGCATTACTAAGAAGCCAAAACCAATAGATGTTGGCATTGATATTGTAAAAGGGAAACATCTATACCAGGTTGGTGGGAATGTAAATTGTATAACCTCTATGGAAAACAGTATGGAGATTTCTCAAAAAACTAAAAATAGACATACTATTCAATCCAGCAATCTCACTACTGAGTACCCAAAGGAAAACAAGTTATATCAAAAAGACATATGCACTCCTATGTTTATTACAACACAGTTCACTATTGTAAAGACATGGAATCAACCTAAGTGTCCATCAGTTGATGAGTGGGAAAGAAAATTTAGTATTATATACCATGGAATATTACTCAGCCATAAAAAGAGGGATTTATCTTTTGTAGCAACTTGGATAGAATTGGAGGTCATAATCCAATTGGATTAGATTGGAATGGAAAAACAAATACTTTAGGTACTTGCTTATAAGTGGGAACTAAATAATGGATATACATAATCATACAGAGTGGTATACGATGGGTCAGGGGCTGAATGACCAAAAATTACCTATTAGGTACAATGTATACCATTGGGGTCATGGGGGCACTAAAAGTTGTGATTTCACCCCTATACACATACAACTCATCTATGTATCAAAAATACCACATGTATGGCTAAATAGTTTTACATGGTGTACATATATCACAGTTTATTAATCAATTCATGGGTTGATTGGCACTTGGGTTGTTTCCACATCTTTGTGATGGGGACTTTGTATCTTTTGTATTTACTTGGATGGATATGGAGAACATTCTCATAAGTAAAGGATCTCAAGAATGGAAAAGCAAGCATCCCCATGTAATTGGTACTAATCTGAAAATAGTAGACCAACAACTATAGGCCCACACAAGAAAAAACACAATTAAATTCAAGAAGGAGGATGGAGCAGGGGGCAGGGAGCTTGATAAGTTCCCTCCTATCAGGTACAATGTAGGGTATATGGCATGCTTCTTGGGTGAAAGACTAAACTATAACTCAGACTTTGGACTTTACCTTACAAACACGAATAGTATAACCTAATCATATATCCTCATCTTCAATCATAATAATAAAAAAAACCCCACATGTACCCCCTGAATCTATTGAAATTTTTAAAAATGGTTAAAAATATGACAATGAAAATATAATATATAGAAATCTAGGTATGCACTTGAATCAGTTCCAGAGGAAAATTTGTTGCACTAAACATTTTTATCATTTTTAAAAATAAGGCCAGGCATGGTGTCTCATACTTGCAAACCTGGAACCTTGGGTGACCAAAATTAGAGTATTGCTTTAGCCTGGAAATTTGAGACAGCATGAACAATAGAGAACAATTCTGTCTCTATACAAAATTTAAAAATTAGCCAGGTGTGCTGGTGTGTATCTGTGGTCCCAGCTACGGTACTTAGGCTGAGGCAGACGGACCACTTGAGCGCAGGAGTTGGAGGCTACAGTTGAGCTATAGTGACAAAACTGTACTCTAGGCCAGGCAATAGAGCAAAACTCTGTCTCTAAATTAAATTAAATTAGAAAAACAAAAGGATTAAATTTTTATCTCAAAATAAGAAATGGGGCAGCGCCTGTGGCTCAAAGGAGTAGGTTGCCAGCCCCATTTGCTGGAGGTGGCAGGTTCAAACTCAGGCCCCAGCCAAAAACTGCAAAAAACAAACAAACAAAAAAACTCTAAGAAATGAACAAAGTAAATGAAAAGAAAGTATAAGAGATGATGAAATTAGAATCAAAGCAGGAATTAATGAAGAAGAGTATTTTAAAAACCAATGGATATAATTGATAACTGAAAAAAAAATTTTTTTAATATTAACTACATATGCAAACCACTACCTAACTTTACCAATAAAGGGAGAAAACATAAATATACAAAATAATGCTCCAGGAGTACTTGAAAATAATGTTTATCCTCTTATTGTTTGGTGTCATGTTCTGCAAATGTTAATTAAGTCAAGTTGATTGATAGTGATCTTATATACATCTTTACTGATGTTTAATGTTTGATCATATATTAAGAAAGGAGAGCTGAAATTTTTAACTGTAATTGGGAAAAGTCATTTCTTTTTCATTTTATCACTCAGCTTTTGCTTTATACATAGTGATTCACTTTTAGGATTAACATGTTATCTTGATGAATTGAGTTCATGACGAAATGACTCACTTTTTCTCTTCTTACTCATCCTACAACCTATTTTGTCTGACATTTGCATAGTTACTCCATTTTTCTTATGTTAAATTTGAATTATATATTTTTAAACATTTTATTGACATAAAATGTATATACCATATGTCTACCCTTTACATCAATAATTTTTGATATGTTTACATGATGCATAGCTATCACTATAATCTAATTTTAAAACATTTTAACTTCCTTGCTCAAAAAAGTACTTTTCTCCCCACTTAGATTTGCCTTTTCTTTTTAAA